TAAACGATGAAACCCCTTGGAATTCCAGGTTGGAGATCGTGTCCTGTTGAAGGTCTCACCCTGGAAAGGCATGATACGTTTTGGAAAGCGCGGGAAACTTAACCCGAGGTACATAGGACCTTTCGAGATCCTCGCTAGGATCGGTCCCGTAGCCTATAAACTCCGACTACCTCAAGAACTTAGCAACATCCATCCCGTCTTCCACGTTTCTAATCTCAAAAGTGTCTATCTGATGAAACCCTCGTGATTCCTCTTGATGAGATCGAGATCAACGAAAACCTGAAATTTGTGGAAGAACCCATCGAAATCATGGATCGAGAGATCAAATGTACGAAACAAAGCCGCATCCCGATAGTGAAGGTTCGTTGGAATGCCAAGCGGGGACCCGAATTCACATGGGAGCGCGAAGACTCGATGAAGCAGAAATATCCGCATCTCTTTCCAATTCCATGATTTGTATCTAAATTCTAAATTTTGGGACGAAATTCCTTCTAACGGGGGGATAATGTAACAACCCGTAATTTATTCTGTCACTGTAACCCATTTCCGTTAATAAAAATTTATTTTTATTAAAATTTTCCGTTAACATTTGGGTTAGGCACATAAATTAATGTTTTTATTTTTATCTTCTTAAGTGTCAGGACGGAATAAAAACACGTGAAAACACCCCAATTTTTATTTAGAAAATTGTTAATTTCGACCACGTCGGGTTACGACAAATTAATCGGGTAGGACCATAAGCCTCGTTTAACGTCAGTATCGAGTAGATTTCCACCGAGCCTCAAACTCCAACCCTATATAAGGGTGAGTGGACTTCATTTGAAGCTTTTACACTCTCTCTCTACTCTCTCTCTACAATCCAAATCTTGATCCAAAATCACCCATTTCAAGCTCCAAATCGGTAAGTAATCCATCCTAGCTTATAGTTTAGATTGTTTCGCTTACAAATCCGTGTCTAAATCATCCAAAAGGACCAAAGACTTGTGTTTACGGACCTAGAATAGCCCCAAACCGTAAACACACTTAAATGGGGGTTTGGAGCCCAAAAACCCTTCCCAACCACTTCTATAGCTTAGCAATGTCTTAGGGGCCTACATGAATGGACTTAGAACAACAAAATCTTAACATATGGGGAGTAAACATGAGTTTACGGCCCAAGAGCATGCTTGGACCATAAACACCCCTTCTAAGACCGTAAACACCATTTAAGGTGTTAAAATGCCCTTTAAACACATCCTATGCCTTGGAATAATGTCTAGAACCAACCTCCATTGTGTTAGGGACCTTAATCATGAGAGAAACCACCTCCTTAGGAGATTACGGCCGTAAACCCCCCCAACGAATGGTTCCTGGGCCGTAAACTCCTATAAACTGGTCAAATGGTGCCCAAACTTCCTTCCATGGCTTGTACTTTGGACTAGAACCACTTGTGCTTAACCTAGGATCACCAAAACACAAAAGCAATGTGCATGTGAGAGTTTACGGCCGTAAACTCCTAGTTTACAGCCGTAAACTCCTTAAAATGGTCCCTTTGATAGTTTAATCCCTTCCAATGCCTTAGAACTGAACCTAGCCTAACTCCACAAGTGTTATAAGATCATTAAGCATCCAAGAACACACCACCCATGAGTTTATGGACGTAAACTCATGGGGATATGGTCATTAGGCCGTAATCTCCCTTAGGAGTTTACTCTTGAAGAGAAAACTCCATATCTAAGCCTTTCACCTCCTTAGATGTTACCCAGATCACTCCTAACACTTGAATTGAAGTGTTTTCGCGCCTCGGAGTGTATATTCTTACTTAGTTGGTAGTTCAAAGTCTAATTAGATACAATTATGTATCTCTTCATATTACATAGGAACCTCGCACGTGTTCAAGCCCAAAACTGACACTTAGCATCCTATCCGGCACATTTCTCGTCTGGTGAGTTCATACCCCTACACCTTTTTCCGTGTTTTTCAATGTTTTCAGGGGGGAATACAAGCAAAAGTACAAGGAAATCTTGTACTCCAACTTATTATTTCATTTGAAATGTTTCATATTCCGTATGCTTTTAACACTGGAAACCGTATTAACCAACCGTTTGACTTGCAGAGTTAGTTTTCAAACTAATTGCGAAACTCATTATAAAATGTTATATTTTATAGTTCACAAATGATTTTCCACATTATTACTGTTAAAATCATTAATCTTAGAACTTTTGATACGTCCTCTGAAACACTCCACAGAGATACGCGAGTGGAGGACCGCCTTTGTAACTAGAATCTAAAACAGGATTTTCCGCATTATTACTTGTAAATTCATTATTCTTAAGATTGGAGACACGTCCTCTGTAACACTCCACAGAGATACGCGAGTGGAGGACCGCCCCTGTAACCAGAATCTCCTAGGAGGAGAGCGTGACTTGAGTGTATAGATCTATACGGGGTTGACTACCCCGCACCTTGCTGCTAGCTACAGTGGGACCGGCAGGTCTACGGGTGACAAAAGTCATAACTGATACTGGCCTTCCTTTTTTCCATATCTAGTTTATCGTATGGTTATAGAACTCGCAACTTAGATAATGGAGATTTACTTTTAAGTAATAAAGAACTTAGTAAATTAATAAACTTATGAATTAGTTTACTACATATCTAATAGTTTTATGTACGTGTTAAAACTAACGCACTTTTCAAGGATAACCAGGCTTTCAGAATACTTCAATAACACTACAAGTATGGTAGATACTTGTACACTTCATTTCGAATCGATAACCAACCACAAACTTTTAAGGAAAATAAGGGTTTTTCCTGGGATAACTTGACTGTTCTTAGCCAAACTGTGTAAGAATGGATAACTAAACCTTTCTTATAAGAAAATATGGGATTTTCTTGGGTAACAACTTTTTCAGAAAACCAAAGGAAACTTGCTCTTTTACAGAAACAAACCGCTTATGAACTCACCAGCTTTATGCTGATATTTTAAAAACTGCTTGTATTCTCAGGTCATCGTTAGACAGGTATCCCGCGTTCTTTTGGAGAAGACGGAGCATTTTAGCAGTCTCGTCTTTACTTTTGTTCATTTTGGATGTATATATATATATATATATATATATATATATATATATATATATATATATATATATATATATATAATCATGTATAACTTTGCTTTCAAACAAATGTAAATACTTCTATGTAATGTAATGGTTGTGTTTACTATGCTTACTATGTACATTGGCTGTGATACTTTACATGACGTCCTCTGCCCCGGAACATTTCCGCCATTGGTTTCGGGGTGTGAAACTAAGTCACATGAAAAATCATTCAAAGCATACTTGTCCCTGCCTACACTGGTTAAACAGGTAATTTATGTTACAATTACTCACCTTACGTTTAGGTTGATAGATAACGAAATTGTAAACCACCCACATAGCCTTGCAAAAGAAGCCCTTCGATACTTCTCTATAAGTATTCGATTGAAATTCACGGGAACATAGACAAGCAGTTGTTTATCTATTTTGATAATTAACGAAGCAACCTTCGCCCAGGGTTCATCTGCTTTTGTGTTGAAAATCTGTTTTTCGACATCACAGATTCATATTTTTGTTAATTTGCTTCTTCTCTTATCTTTGGCACATTGCACTCACGAAATCCTTGAGGTTCTGAGTACTATCAACTCAGGCTGATGATTTCGAACGCCTAGCAAATGACTTCGTCTCTAAACCCAAAGACGAAAGAGCTTTACCTCCATCCGAAGGTTGGTGACGGTTACAATTCTATGGGGAGACTCGAACAGACTATGTAACAAGATGTTTTGTATTCAGTTCGGCATTCAAGGTGATGTTACATTTACTTTTTAACGCGTGTCTACTTTATCGGCAGACTGGTTCGACTTTCAAGGTGCCACGTCAGATCTAAATTAAATTTTATCCCGCGTTAAATTCAAATTTCAAGGGTACATATAAAAAGGGATTCAAGGGTTCTTTGTCCGTTTACGCTCACAAAAGAAAATTTTCCAAATTGTCTCTGTTTTTCAAAGCTTCAAAACCCTAATCATGGCTGCTCATGCTGGTGCTGATTCTGCATCTAGAACAACTGAAGACATCACTTCCCAACCGATTATGAAAATTCAAAGCACAAATTATCAATTCGAAGGGGATGTTTCATTGTATCCCGAAGAATTTAAGATGTTGATTGTTGCATTGAAAAGTTCTGTTTTGTCAACTGCTATGTTCAACTCGTTTGTTGTTCGTCTTTCATGGCTTTCGCAAGCAGGATCCTGTGCTACTTACAGCAAAGCAATGGATGTTATTACTTTTCAACTGGTGAATGATATGAAGATACGATTGACCAAGAAGTTATTCTATCAGATTCTTGATATCCCTAATTCTCCACCTTATACTGATCTTTCTTTTGCTCAAGTTAACCACATGTTCAACGAGATGGGTCATCAACCCCCACTCACCAAGATCAGTGATTTCAAGAAATCTGGACTTCCAGCTGCTTGGAATTTTCTTTTTGGAATATTTCTACGCTGCTTGACTGGTCGCAATGTTGGGTTAGATAAAGGTCGAATGGAAGTTTATGCTATGGTTGCTGGCTTGTATTATGATATTTCAGTGGATTACTCAACTCAGTTGTGAAAAGACTTTCAGAAGAGTGTCGAAAACACGAATGTTGTTCAAGGAATTTTGTGTTCAAGGTATTGGAGTTTGATTCTTTGTTATTTCTATGACAAAGAACATATTGAGGTTCCCGCTAATGAAGAGAAAGCTGAATTTCTGAAATATCAATTTCCAAAGGAGGTTTCTGATGATGCTGAGGTGTTCACACACATTGCCAGGATCCCTGATACGATGTTGAAGCGTGTTGATCAAACCAATCCGGTGTTGGTTGAGTATTTGAAGACCATCAATCCTGATGATGAAATTGGAAAATTATTATCCAAAGAAGATCCTGGTTCTTCTAAGAAATCAAAACGTTCGAGGAAAGATGCAAAGGGTACTCCTGAGAAGCCTATGCAAGAATCGAAGCAACAGAAGTCACCACCGAAACAGACGAAGCCAGAAGAACATATTTCGACTGTTTTGATCAATCCAGTTCAACCTGTTGTTGATGAACACGCAATGGAAACCATTCCATCAAAATCTGGTGTCTTTCGAAGACTTAATAAGAAGTCTAGTGGTTCACGAAAGTCTCCTACCATGCTTCGTAAACCACATCTTAATCACCAAGGGGTCCTTATTCGTAAGGTTCCAGCTCCTGTTTCTCCTTCATCAAATAAACGAACAGTTGGAGACATGGCCAAACATATTTCTGAGAAGAAGCTAAAGAAACGTAAGTTGGTTATTCAAGAAGAATCGTCCAAAGGTGAGAAAATTTCTGAGACACCCGCAGCTACTCTTTCTAAATCAACTCCTGAGAAGACCGAGGTCATACCACCCGAAGTTTGGTTAACCGAGTCAGTAATTGAGGAGGTCCGAACTTCAAACATCACTACAAAAGTATCTAATACCGGTGTAAATGTCAACATGGGTGAAGGATTTTCGAATACAGAGCCTCCATTATCCACACAAGGTATTCTTGTTTTCTCACAAGTGGATACTACTGTTCCTTTGCCACCTTATATCATCCCTGTTTTGAACACCACACACTCACCTACTTTTGAGGATGTGAATCAAAATCCTTTTACCACACTTTTCTCCTCTCAATCGACTGATTCACCCAAAGATGTTTGTGAATCTGGAACTGATATTGATGAAGGAGGTTTTGGGGGAACTTTTTAAGACTTGGAGTTTGATGATCAGGAAGAGAGTTTTCCTGATCATATGTTGATGTCCATGAAGAAATTCAGGATTCTGAAGAAGAAGTTGAATTCAATTATTTAGTCTCAAGCTGAAATGGGTTGAAGTCAATCTGTCTCAAGTATGGAAATCGATGATATGCTCAAAGCGGTCGAAGCTAGGGTGATTAATAAATGTTCTGGACTATTTGTAGACTTTGAATCACGATTAATGGAGAAGTTGGATAAGAATGATAAATGTAATAAGTTACGGATAAAGTCTCAATCTTCGAATTTTGTGGACGAACTTAAAGATTTTCGACAGATGGCTAAGGAAAGACATGTCTTGTTTTTTCAAGATGTAAAGATGGTGAGGGAGGATGTGAATTTGCAAATTAGAGAACTTCATGAAGATATGACCAAAGAAATTATAGTAGTACAACGTGATTATGCTTCTCTTAATCAGAAAATTGATATTATTGCAGATGTGGTTACAAAGTTTGTGAAGTTATATGAAAGTTTGAGTCCTCAAATTATTCAACTTTCTACGAATGATAGCCAGAGTTTCGTTGAGGTTATTACTTTGCTAAAGGAGCTGAAAGTCTTGTCTGTCAAGCCTGTTTCATCTTCGATCATTACACCCGAATACTTGTCTCGGAAGTTTACTCAATTTGAAGTTGTTTTGCATAAACAGTTGGCCCCATTGTCCAGAATTTCAAATCTTCTACCAACAGATGCCCCACCTGTTAACACAAGGGTGCAAGGGGGAGAAAAGAAGGTTAGTGATGCGAAGGTTGGTGGGATTTTTCATGAAAATGTTAAGACTGTTGGAAAAGTCTATTCAACAAAGATTCCAAAAACAAAACCAATTCTTTCATCTGCTGGGCCAGTTACTTCAACGGTTGTTACCACCATGCCAATTCCAAAGCCAATTTCTACAGGAATTGTAATTGGTTCTTCTGGTGAAGGTGGTAGTAGTTCGAAGCCAAAGTATATCGTTGATAGTTCTTCACACAAAGACAAAGGAAAACCAATTTTAGTTGAAAAGTCAAAACAGGAAAATAAAGTTGAGGCTGAAGCTAAAGTAGAGAAACTGAGATTAGTTCAGAGCATTATGACTGGACGTGCAAGTGATCCTCCTGGAATGAACAAAGGTGATCCAAGCAAGCATTACAACTATGAAACGATCGAATCAAGAATTTCATATGTATGCTTTTGAGAAGAAACCAAAGCAGAGCTATGTTTGTTCGAATATAGATATGAGTCAACTTGACTTTCCTATCAACGAAATAATGTTCATCATGGCTCAGTACAAGATTGCTGAGTAATTCGACAATGATGATGAATGCTCATATATGAAACTAAGGTTTCATGCTTTTCTTGGGAAACTTCCAGAGGAAATATGGTCTCTTGTAAAAATAAAGAAGGTGATCAACATTAAGAAGGATGTTATGTTCGAGAAAATGATGCAAAACTTTCGTTTTCATGTTCCAAGGGCTAATGGTCAAGTATGTGATTTCTCAATGACTGATTTTCCATTAATGAACTTGTATGATCTTATACAAGTTGCATTGCTTTTGAAAGACAAAGATACTTCGTATCTTCGAGAAACTGATCCAGAAGATTTTCGTCTTGGTCTTGCTCACATCAAGATATTCATAGACAACTACTATGAATGTTTGGCATTAACAGATATGGAGTTAGCAACTGCGAAGTGATTGGAAGTGAAAGTTCCTATGGAACCAACGAAGCCCCAAGTTGAGTTAAAGAAGTATGCAGATGGGGAGATATGCTTGAACCCATTTGGAATTGTCTTCGCAGGGAAGGATAAGAATGGGAAGGCCAAGATATTTTTGTTTCAGGCATGCAAAGTAGAGAGATATACTACTTCCCAATATACAAACTTTATTGTTAGTATGAATAACTGCAGGAAAAATAATGAAGGAGACAAGAAAGAGTTGAAGAGAATTATTTCATGGTACTCAGAAATACAAAGGGTAATGCTGTATGCTATATAGATTCTGTCGAATTGAAGAAGGTCGACATTATTACAAAGGAGGAGATTGTAAAGGTCGAAGACCTGTTGTAATATGTCGAAGACTTAAGATTATTTTACAAGGCATTTTTGTAACGAAGCATACTGTTTTAGTCCTTGTAATTTTTTGTTTGCTTTCATGTTTCCAATAAATAGGGACATTACTTAGAGTTAGATAAGAGTCTTGTACGGACATTTCTATTTTCTCTCTGTAACATTTGAATGCATAATAGAGCTGAAACAAGATCATATTTACATCGTGTGTTCAATTACATTTTAGTTACTCTGATTTGTTACATTCTTGATTCATCACATCATTAAAACACTACAGTCAAACCTGGACAGTTATGTAATCATATCTAGGATAAATATAGCCTGATGAACTATATTTATTTGAGATACGACCAACATGAGCTTGGGAGTGAGGTTAGTGTTGCAACGAGCCTAAAATTTATCAACCTTACATTCAAAGGAGCATTAGAACTTAACCAAAGGTTTAAAATACTATAGGAGTATTTTATGATACTAAACAATAACAACAAGTCTAAAAACTTATCGATTTCGTACATCAGGAAGTCCTAGGATCACACAGGTAATACTATAGTAGCATTTTAGGATACCATATGACCCCTAGACTTAAACCTTATACATGTATCTCATACCTCCATTATCACAAAGGCAACATGACTGAGCTTCACCCCAAAGACCCCTACTACCCTGCGGTAATAGCGAACGAATGGATCGAGGGAGAACAAGAGGAAGTGCAAGGGGAGAACCCATAAATTTGTTGGGTTTTGATCATACTAACACTACTATGTTGTACATGCAACCCTAGAAACCTTGGATCTATGTTTTCTCTAAAATACATGCAAATTTGATTTCCAAGGTTTACAACCTAACTACCATGTTATGGGGTACTTGTAATACAAAACTTTGAGTAGAATAACATACCTTTCTTTTGTGGTTGAATGCTTGGAGTTTTAGAGCCTAGCACCAATAGTGTGGATGCCTCAAGTGGTGTCACAAATCACCTAAAACAACTTGGAAATACATGAGAGAATATGATGCTTGCTAGAATCGGCTCACCCTTGTTTCTCACACACACTAGTGCCAATTCTAGAACCAAGGACCTCTTTATATACTATGGTGGATTAGGGTTACACCCTAATATCCATGACTCTTCATTTACCTAGGATCCATGGGTTAAAAGCTCCATGGACTATCCATCGACTTCCATATACTCTTAGCCCATCCTAAATAAATCTTAGCCCATTCCATATATATGCAAGAGTCCATATTTAACTAGTTCCATTTGATCATTGAGTTAATTCCATGAATCAATTCTTGATCAACCCTAATTAAATAATAGTTATATATTATAACAAATAATATATTAATGGATCATAAAAATCTTATTCTCAAAAATATATTCATACAAATTGTTAGGTGAAGTGCAACCCAAATGGACCATGTCGGGTCGGTTCAACTCATACCAAACATAGTTACGGACATAGACACCATATCCAAGAAAATGGGTCAAGAAGAATACCAAGAGATGAACCACGAGGGAGAAGATTTTGATGAGGAGTCATACATGGATGAAAGCGCCGGAGAGATACTTACCCCTCAGAAGCAATACCGAACCAACACGCAGAATAGGAAGACCTTACCAATCATCTTCGCTACTTAGAAGAAGAGGTGACCACCCTAAGGCAACAGCTCATGGAAGTTGAGGCTAGGGCAACCTCAGCAGAGTAGAGAACGGAAGAGGCCACTCCTGAAATGAGCGAAATGGTTAGACACATTGTACGCTATTTAGGAATATAAGAGCCATTACAATATTTGCAATAAGTCCTAGGTTTACCATGTAATTCTTCACAACTAGTAGTAGTAAATCAAGAGAGGTACGCCCTACAAGAACCCATGTAACCTGAGCCACCTTAAGGATCTGATATTTTTAAACTATTAGGGTAACTTAACATTTGTACAATACCTACTTCTACATACTACCATTAATACATCATAGGGATGTAGGTCGAGACAATGAGAATCGTGCAACAAAACATGTGATTTATATGCATACATGCATAGGATCATATCAGTAATCATAGATGAGATACGACTAGAAATAACCCTAGTTACTTACGAAACTGTTTCTCATCATGCAATAGGATCATGTCTTCCCATGGAAACAACTAGCTAGCCGGCGAAACACCAATTCTGCAGATAGACCCTGCAACCTTCCAAGCCGATGTAATAGCTGCCGTGATAGCTGTCATGGCACAGCTCAACGCCAACAACTCAAATGAAAATGGAAACGGTGTCGATAATTCCAAACGTAGTAACAACCAAGGAAACCAACAACGGACAATTTACCAAGACACCCCAAACTCTAAATCTAAGGTCATGCAGCGAAAGCTAGGGAACAAGAAAGGAAGCAGTTCGACTCAAGGGCTTACCAAAAGGCAACAAGTTGTAGCAGCCCCTACCCCAACTGGCCCTACTACCTTAGCACCGAGATGACTATATCATGGAAACCTCCCGCTCTGTAGCAAGTGCAGCTATGATCATCATGGAGTCTACCGGGAATTACATTGTAATAGGTGCAACAAGAAGGGGCACACCGCCTGCCACTGCAGGGCCCGGCCCCATGCGTCACTCCAACCCTCAAACCAGAAGTAAGTCCAGTATGCCACACATGCGGTGAAACGGGACTTTTCAAGAGGAATTATCCGACAAAGAGGAATGACGGAGGAGCTGGAGGAGTTTAACAACTGGACATGAAGGGGAAGCGTGGAACCCTATCGAGATTTTTGGTATGTTTCCAAACAACAAAAAAAAATTAAGCATCGAATTTTCACCAAGATTGTTTCAGCAAAAACGATAATTTGTTCCCTCATCCGAACTAATCATATCCTTCGTAGAAAAACTAAAGATCCTTGCGGAAGTTATGATAACATAGTGTAAACGTAAGGTCGTGTGTAATTAAGATTCTACAAACTTAGAGTACGTGGACCCGCATTAATTCTTGTTCCATGTCTGACTGTGGATTTAGGACATGACCACTCAGTCTACAATCTTTTCAATCTTAAATTATATATGAGTAGGCTACATCAAACCATCATAGAGCGGTCTAATAGAAATCAGACTATGAAATCACATCGTTTATATCAATGCACTCGTATTGCTAAGACACCCAAAAATTCAGAACAAAATAACCACAGTACTAATACCAAGAATGAAATTGGTAACATTACAAACGTGTACGTAGAGCACACTATCATTTTAAACAACCATCCCTTTTAGAGCAATCCAACATCTATTATAATAAGGAGCCCAACAGTGTCAATTGACATAGGCTGACTTGATCCTCACCATACGAAATTCATGTGCCAACGAGGCTCTTCTCCTTAACAAGTCAATTAACAAAACCCCTACAACTTATAACAACAATCCTCGAATTATCCCGAGCATCTAGACCCTTAGGTACCTGTGCAAGAAATATCGCACTCTTTCTTAGAACATAATATGGATAAGAAACAAGAAGCAAAGGAAACCGAGGGTAACCTAGAGATTTATAACCCCCCTAAGACGTCTTCAAAGTCCTTTCAGAAATATCACCTACATGCCAGGTTGAGTTCGGAGATCGACTCAACTCACGGATCCATTCTCATAGCCATACCACCAAGACCACTTAGCACTAACATAAACACCGAAGGTATCCGGTCGATGGAACGACCCAGTAAGTATGAGAGTTATCAAACCAAGATTTGAACCTTAGAGAACGCCTATCCAACTCATAAATAGGAAAGGCTAAGTGTCCATAGGACCACTGACTACTAAGAATCAAACGAAACCATCCTCAAGGATCGATATCCCCTATCCCAAATCGAAGACTTACTCGACCTGCCCTCAGGAACAAGCAAAGATCCACCTCCCACTAGTTCAAAATCATGTAGTAAGACACTCCCATGCCGACTTAAGAAGTATGAGCTCAACTATACCGCACGAAACTTTAGCTTTAGTGACAATAGTGGTCGCCCTAAGGTTTAGAGGCACTACTTTTGGGACGTCAAATATGTGATCCTCATTAACCATGACCCTCCATTCACTTCACCGTATAGGACACATACGCATAATAGCTTTGTGTTGGGTTGAGATGACCAACACCCAACTAACCAAAGGAGCAAGGTCAAGGGCCGGTAACAAAGGTCAGCAAGATCACTAAGCAAAGACTAAAATTCTCCTAGGAACGAAGACACTAGACAAAACCAAGATACCCACATATTTTCCTTAGTATTGAGAGCAGCTTTAGAAACGAATTTCGGGACAAAATTCCCTCTAATGGGGGGATGATGTGACAACTAGCAAATTTGGGTTACGAAGTCGGCCCTTGCACAAGAAAAACTCTTTGTGTAATCTTGTAACATTTCATTTAGTGAAATACAAACATTAATGATATTAAGATCATACTTGCGTACATTGCCATTCAAGTCGAAACAACCAAGTGAAGACCCAAAATCTCGATCCACTAAGCCAAATCCAATCATCTTTGGGCCTAGCCAAAGAATTCTCAACCAAAACCCTTATTGGACCAATACTTCCTTATTGGGCCGATAACCCCTCATTGGGCCCTAATAGGTTGAAAATATTTATTTAACATTTCTTTGGGCCTTAATGGGA